TTGCATCTAAATGCTTATTGTGGACATCTAAACAGCATAAAGACTGATTGTAAATACCAGCTGTTGGGCTGTGTTCGGGAATAAAAAAGAATTTCAATAAGGAAAATTGGGATGGAAATGAGGAAATTATTTTCAAACAGTGGAGCTGAAATCAATAAGTAGGAAATGGTGCGCTTTGTGTGATGGTTGTATTTGTCACCTTATTAAGCGTGTTTGTATAATCACATGTGAATATATTTACAGTTGGCTAGTATGTCGTATTCTAACCGGTGAAAACAGTGTTTGATTCAGATGAATATATTAATATATATATATTTTTTAATCTACTGTACGGTGCAGGTATAACAGAGGGAACTAGCTGTTGGTTAATTTATAAGATATTATACACATTATACAGTAACACAACTGCTGTGGTGTATTTAGTGTGCCATTTTATGGTTTACAGTATTTTCGATATAGTTGGAAGACGCCATTCCAACCTTTGTAATATTTGTGTCTGAGTGCATGCATTTGTATGTGTGCTCCGTATGTAAGTGCAGTTGTATGTCGGTGTACATGTGTGCGTCTGCCTGGTGCCCTAAGCAGAGTGATGCCCCTGCTGATTCTGCTCCTCCAGCTCTTTGTCCTGCAGCACTCAGTGTGTCTGCCTCCTCGTGAGACTGCCAGGCTTCTCTAGTGTGGCTCCACAAAGGCCCAGCCTCCTTTGAGGTGTTAAAAACTTCCATTTATGCATCTCCCTGGACAAAAAAGCACCGAGCCCATTTGAGTCCAGGAGCAACACAGGCAGACATTGTGGCCCCAGCTTCTCGAGCCCTCATTTCACAGATTCTAAAACCAGTATGTGGTGAACAGGATTTTGGCGGCTAAAGTGCCCCGGGAGGGCCAGGCGATAAGAGGGGAGAAACGCCACCACGCAGTAAACTAGAAGATGGGTCCAGGAAAATAAACACATTACCTGGGAGAAAGGGGAGTTTTTCATAGCCCCCCCCCCCCCGCCACCCCCCACTTACACAAATCCCACACTGAATAAAAAAGACATAGAGACAAAAACTGAGAAAACAAAAAATTTGCTGTCTACATATCTGGGAAGTTAAGAAAAGCAGTGGGCAAAAAGACAAGCCTATTCTTTGTTCTGCCTTTGGAGTCTTTGGAGTGGGAAATGTGTGAGAGAATTGATAGGTTGCACACCTGCTTGTTAGGAGAACTGGGGACTGAATGCCGTCCTGCGCGTCCGCCGGTCGTTTTCCTCCCCTCAGTCTGCCTCAACCCAGTTGCTCAGGAAATAGACTCGTGTTCTTGTTATTTGACGCAACGGATAATGTATTTGCCGAGCAGCACATGAGCGCCTTGCTCAGCCGCAGCGCTGTTTCTCTATTAGACTTCTGCTTGTAAACAAACTCAGGTCGAGACGGCTGCAGGTTTCTTTTCCTGTTTTATCCGACACAATTGCACTTTAGCTTTTCCGAAACACAGTTTTTCACTGTTTTACCCCCAACAAATTTCAAAACACATTTCATCTGGACGCTCTGGTAATCATTCCTGGCACGTTGGTGTCTGGTCTGCTGTAGTTCAGCGTCAGGACAGGATCAGCCAGACACAGGGAAAAGGCCGTTTGAGGGAGGCAGAGGGTAGAGATTAAAAAGAGGAGAGAAGAGAGATTTGTAAGGCTGTGACAGTTAACGGTGAGATGCAGCATGAAGCAGCTGTTTGCACGTGATTGACCTGTTTCTAACAGCGAATAACTCAATGATACGGTGGATCTCTTACACACCTTGTCTCACAGCCGTCTTTGTCCGTGGCTGTCTGTAGTTTATCTCACTGTTAGGAAGTGAATAGATCTATTAGCAAACAAGGACTTTGGCACGTTGATCTGTGCCAAAGTGTCCACGGTTTACTGAAACACTTTCCTGTAAGGGGACTGATGCTATTGCAAAGAGAATTAACATTATGGAATTGGATATTTAACAGACACTCACACGTGTTCAATTACTATATCAGACAATTCTGTGGCAGAATGATCTGAGCTTCCACGCCCTGCTTCCTTCCTCTTCCTCTCATTTCACTATTTCCCCTGGGTCCACTGTTACAGCTTCACCTCATTGCATCCCAAACCCCCCCACGCAAGCCTCGGCCTGACTCACTGTGTGGCTGCTGCTTCTGCACAGATAACCACACAGCAACCAGGTAGGCAGCAGCCTTCCGATGGCATAGATTACCTCTATTGACAAAATAACTAACTCGGCAGAATTCCTACTTTAGCTTGTTTGGATGAAGGAGGAAGTGAGTGTTTGGAAATGTTGCAGATCTGGAGGAATTCCAAACAGAAGCACAAGTTTTGACTTGCCTCATGCATATCCACACAAAACTATGCATGACGAAATGTGCATTTACGTTCGCAGCAGGCACGTGAACAATTTAGAAATATCCCACAGCATAGTCTCATATGCTGCGCAGACTATAAAGCCCCCAGTTGCAAATGTGTTGATGTTGGACTATATAATAAGTTGAACATAAAACTTGTGTTTGGTCAGGGCCGCTAAGTATTGGTTTGTATCCCCTGTGCTGTTTACAGTTGTGGTAATGTTGTCTGTTTATACTCAGCCACTGTCACACGATGACTGAAAGAAAAACAACTGAAAATGAAATCAAGCGTAGCCCACAGCATACGTGCGCACACGCGTCTGCAATCGGAAGGTTCAGTTGATCTGTGACTCTTTAAGTTTAATTTCTTCACGTGCTGCACAAGAGGCTTTAGCTTTAATTGCAATTGCAGCCGAAATTGAGTCTGTTTGATACGTAATATAAAGACACGTGAGCAGTTTACGGTGGTCGGTTTAAGTGCACGGGTGAAACTTATGTTAGGTGAGGTAAGTTAGGTATACAAGTGCAGATATGAGATATACAAAGAGCATACGTGTGTGTGTGTGTGTATGCGTGTGTCTGAACTATACAACCTTTCTTTATATGGATTTCCAAACCAGTTTGTTTCACTGCAATTTTAGAGTTTACTGAAAGACCGTTTTCTTTAGCAATGGAAATTATGCTATGATTTTCTTCCTCTTTTTGGCTGTATGTAAAAGCTTTTGTGGCAACTTGTGTGTGTGCATGTTGGCATTTTCACGTATTTTCCTGTGTGTGTGTGTCAGGTAGGTATGACCAGCCAAGGCTAGAAGAAAGGCCACTCTTTGACAGAAATGCCACAGGTGGCAGTGAGCCCTCTTTTCCTGCTCCTTTGATGTCAGCTCCACCAGTCTGTATCGGGGAGCTGAACAGCCAATATTCTGTGTATTCCTTTTGTGGCTTGTGGCCTAATGGAGCCACATTTACTTTTTCATCTCATCCTAATCGTATCTGTCAAAAAAAAGAATATAATAATGGAACATAGTACATTTAAGTATGTGGACAATTTGTTAAAAGAGAGATGATGAAACTAATAATTTTAACTTGGGGTTGACTGAAATGGTAATAAGTCCCAGATCTTCTAATTAGCAATGGGGGAGTGCCTGTTTTATGTTTCCTGGCTGTAGGTCTAATTCACAGCAGGAGAAAAAGCTACTACATGCAGCTACACCAGGCCAGTTGACTGTGACTCTTATTACACCACAGGGATTAGTACATTTGCTTCATTATAATATCGTTTGGGCTCTCTCATTATTTGCAATTATAAATTCCTTTTGTTTTCTTTTCCCTCCCTCTGACAAATAATGAACTTAAATATGAAAAATGAATATATTTCCCCATATATTATTTACCTTATTGTTCCCAATTAACATTAGATTATGGATTGAAGGGTTTGTTGACGTCTACTCTCTGTAATAATAAGAGCCGTCATTCATTTAGGCATAGCAGGAATTACGTCTATGGTCAGAGATCAGATGGTTGCAGCTGGAGCATGTTGAAATACTGTGTGTTTAGTGTCAATTGAGATGCACTGGAACACTTTAAACTCAGAGGTGCTATTCACGTTAAAGGCTTTCCATTCAGCCGGGGTCACCTGGGTCCCCTCTCCCCTATTGTCACCTGCAGCCTCAAGGCCAGCACATTCAGACCCGTCTGTAACTCTCGCCTCCACCTGACTCATCTGACGCTTCGTCAGCCCTTCAGCCTCCCGTGCTGTGCTTTGGCAAAAATGCAGTGGTAGTCGGTACATTTATCTGATCTTGTTGATGGTATTGGTCAAGCTGATGGGAGACTGAGGGGGTGAATCGCAAATTAGTGACTGATCAGTTCAGCGTGACCTTAAAAAAAAGCTTAATTGGCAGCGCTCAGGCAGACTAATTGTATAAATCAGCTGGTAATGAGATCTTGGCTTATTGTGAGAGAAAAAAGACAATGAACATGAATGAACTCAGTGAGTGGTTATTTTCTCTATTGTCATTATTTCTGATGGAATTTGGTGCCTAAAAGTGCATCCACTTGCATTGGACTTTCCTGGCCAGTATTGCTTTCTCTAAAAAGGCTTTAAGTTGTTACACTTCAACAGACAAGCTGAAACTAGCGGGGCACGGCCCCTAATAAATCATTAGCAGGCAGCGCTTGAAGAAAGAAAGAAAGCAAAATTAAATAAAACAACCGCTTTGCATGAAAGCTGTTTATTAGTGAAATCCGCCAACTGGAAGACAGATTAATGAGGTAGCGGTGAGGCAGATTTTAAACAATGTCTAGGACGGATCCCATTGATGACAGCTGTTAGGACTGGAGGTCGGACGCTAACAAAGCTGTTTTACATTAGCTCACTTGCAGAGACTCTGACCCTCAGCCAACAGTCGCTATGGCCTCAATTCTCCTCTTCTTGCTCTATCTCTGTTTGTTCCAACGTAAGTAAATACGGTTATGAAAGACCATTGTTGATTCTAACCACGTTCCAAACTCACTGGTACCTTTAATCTGAACGCGTTGTGGCCATGCAAGACACGGTCATTCATACAAATTATATCATGTTACATACAAGGATAAACTTAACAACAACCTTTTCCGTCTTATTTTTGCTTACATTTCAGGTTTTTACATGAATTCAAAAACAGCCGACCAGTGATCGCTGGAAGCTGTGGATTAAGTCTTTCAGTTTTTGTAAGTATCAATTTGCCTTTTTCTCTTCGGCTTTCCTGTCTTGCTGCATGTGTCATTCACCCCAGCTGTCTCTCACCCACACGAAACACCTGCATTAAATGAGGTGGACAATCGCAACACAATGTACGCACAATTAGACATTTACAAGTTACTGACAGACCTTTCGAACGCAAGGTTCTCCAACTCATTTTTCTTGCATTTTGTCTTTGCATTAGTTAGTTTGCTGTTTTTGTTTTTTGGGATGTTTTTTATTTGGTCTTAATATAAAAAGTGAATGCTACAACTTTAAGATGAAATAATAATAACGTTATGAGCATTCCGATCTGGTCTGTACTACATGAGATCATACTTCTACTTTTCCACAATAGCTGTATCAGACCTGCGTTTAACTCGCTCTGTCTCTATGAAAATGTTACTTAAACAAGCTCAGCTGCTTCTCGTGGAGGTTTTCTAATGAAAACGTATCTTAGATATTAAGCAAATAAAGGTGAGGAACTTCATTGATATTATTATTTTCTTTTAAATGTCATATCACTGGAGTCATATTGAGGAGGAGCTCTTCAATAACAGTCGGGAAATGTCTCTCTGAATTCAAAGTTCATGGCCATTTACTATTGTTTAATCATGACATTTCCCTCCACACACTGTCCTCCGCCTAGCGATGAGCTGCTGCACGTTTGTTGGTTGGGAACGACTTGATCTTATAAAACTATGTCATCATCAGAGCAGCTAATTAATGAGAAAAAGTAATTGCCTGAATCCCTGTGCATTGTACACATTGATGACACGGAAGTGCATAGAATAGTCAAAATGGCAACACTTATAAAACAACGAGAAGAGCACATCTTTGCTGGTATTAGCCAGCCTGTTTGACCAGGTCTTATATTCGCTGCAGTGTCCCCTTCTCTGGAATTTGAGTTACCAAATTTTGTGCATTAAGATCATGCAACTTACGCTAGCCGGGTTCACTAACGGATAGTATAATAAAAAATGCAAAGATTCCAGAGTTATCAGCAGGACAGTAGAAGCATAGCGTTTTTTTTTACCGTAATTCAGTGAAAAATTGCTTTAACACTAAAAACTAGAAATATCTAGCATCAGTGTTGCTAGCCACCGAAATAAAAAACCATTGCAACTGAAGGAATTTAAAATATGCAAATGTAGCGTGAGCAATGGTTACTGCCGCCTGCTGGTGCCCCTATAAACATCCCTCCTCAGTTGGCTAATAACTTGCGTCCTGAAGTTTTGCGATTGCCTCGATAGTTAAACATTATCTAATTAAGTCATGTTAGTGTTGTTAGGCATCAGTTTTTATTTCTCATGAATGGAAATGTTGCATGTGGTGGACTGACATTCATTGCCATCCGCTCTTATTAAGTTGGATCCTCATACAACCCAAAATGAAGATCCCTTGACCTACAGGTTTAATTGATCTCAAAAGAAGTCATTTAGTTTGCGTTGGGATAGCTTATTGAACACGTTTAATTACACACCTTTAATCTCATTTGGAAACACCTGAGAATATGTTGGAGCATCTGAAGAGGCCATATACTGTACACTCTTTGTTAGTGTTTCCCATTTGTTTAATAGGCCTCGTGGTCTCAAAGCTCTCAGCCCATTATCGATGGCACCGCTCAAGTAAAGGATGCATTTCGTCAGAAATGAAATAAACGGAACTTAAAATGAAAATAAAAAAATGTAAATAAAGAACCTTTAAATTGTTATTCCTCATCTATTATTTATCGAATGAGACTCTTCAGCCCACTGACCCGGCTGTGATTATGGTCAGTATGTTTCCGAGCAAAGACCGCTTGAAAAAGACCACTGAACAAAGAATTTAATTTCATCAGCCTCCATTACTCCTGAGGATCCCTGTGTGAATATGGAAAACTAATTGTTGCACATGTCATTCATTACCTGGCAAGAATGTGGAGAACCCACTTGAATTGTATCCATCATCCTAAACACTGCATTCAATTAATAGCTTGTATTACTTCTAAATGACCATGTTTCGAAAGGAGAGGCTGTTGTTTGTGGTGTCTTGATTAAGTACGGTCCAGATTTAACCACATGAAAAGAAACTAATCTCTCACTTTAGTATTATTGTTTGAAGGCTTGACGGACTTTATAAAAAACAAATAAAAACCTAATATGTTAGAAGTATGTTCCCTTGTAGCGGTGTGGAGGTCCACGCGGTAGCTATATACAGCAGGAAACGGGACTAAAGAACATGCCATTAATCTTCTCGCTACCCCAGCTGTGGAAAGTAATGCATAACTAAAAGTCCGGTAAAATGAATTAACGATTTCAACCATGAACTTTTCTCCCAAAACGCCATGAATCGTCTCTAACTGATAATGCACCACGGCCCTGGAGTGTGAAATCCCTGTTGCGTTGAGAGTAGCCAGTTAATTGATTTGCAAATTATTTAAGTTTGTGGGGCCCAGGGGAGTGCTTGACTGCAATGACGGCCTATTTTGAACAAGTTGAAAAACTCTTCCCAGGCAAGTCAGTGTTACGTAGTAACTGTAAAGTCTAATCTAAGCCCCACGGAGAGAGAGGCTGTCCAGCGTTCTGTTGTCGGATTGAGTCAGCTGTCCTTTACATTGTGATGTATGTCACCCTAAATGAATTGTTCATTCTACTCTTTTAGGAGCTTCGTTTTTTTTACTTCCTGGTGCTTTTTATTTTGGGAAAATCCTGCTATATGAAGGAGAAGATTTCAAACGTAGATAAAGTTTTTTTCTAAGAATTTGTGTAGATAAGAAGAATGTACGAGTGAGAGAAATATTTATACGTTCAGCAGGATTTGTTGTGGTTAGTTCTAGTTCAAGCGACAGCCGGTCATTCTGCATGGGACGGCTCTTCTAGTAACATACACACCGTAAATTCCATCGCTTTTCAGTCAAATTTGTTTGATCCCTGTGTTAATATCAAGAAGCCTCTAATCTCAAACCATTAGCAACTGCTGTCATTCAGACACACGGTGTCAGCCTGATTTAAATAAAATGAAATGAAGATAGTTGTTTCCGGTCCCTTGGCTTCATTCATTGCCATAAACATATGCTCTGTGCCCCGCTTCTTTCCATCTTATTTATGACTTTAATTTGTTGTGTGGGCTGCGTAAGAAATCAAATTTAATCCAATCCTCCCAGGGACCCTGTCATATAATAACATGGTAATTTCTGTGTATCCTTTTGAAAAATGAGGAAATTAATTCTTCCTGACATGTTCTAATTATTCCAGTGTGAACGGCGGATGGGCCCCCCCTCCCCTCCCCCCCAGGCCCCTAAGTGTCAGTTGCCGACGGGTGGCGAGGTGCTAATGCTGACCAGCAGCGCGTTTAATTTGAAACATGAACAGACACCTTTCAACACACCTTCCTAATGTTGGAGTGGCTCACACAAATTAATTCACTACTCATCTGGCAGCTCAGACTGAGGTGTGTGTGTGTAGGTTGGAGGAGGGGGGGTGGGTGTGGGGGGGTCGATGGGACCCTATTGCCATTAGTAAAGGTAACATAAGGTGTGTCTGTGTGTGCACATGTGTGTGCAGTACACTGTATAAATGCAAATACAGTATGTAAGTGTGTGTGTGTGTGTGTGTGTGTGTGTGTGTGTGTGTGTGTGTGTGGACATGCGCTGGACCGGGTCTCACCATATTTCATTTGACTGGGTGGTGAGATGGGTGCAAAGCCGTCTGCTGGCATATTGCGATTGCGTGGGCCAGCTTTTTTTCTCCTCTGTGGATTTGGGAGCCTCCCGAACCAACGGTACCTTTTTCACACATCCAAACGCTCCACGGAGAGCATGGAGAGGCTTATTTAATTAGACTGTCATCAGGCAGTCTTTTAGTTTATCACTTCCATTTGCATAGAGACACTGCTGGGAGAGATGTTGTGAAACAATGATCCTGCGTATCTTATTTACAGACATAAAGCAAATAAATGATCCAAAATGAACTTGCTCTCTGCTGCTGATGATAATGATGATGATTATAATGATAATAATAATTATTATCATTTCAATCTAGGGTTGTTATTGACTTGACTGATGTCAAACTAATCCGTCATCATTTTTAATTAACAATGAAAATGGTTCAAATCAGAATTAAAAATGTATACTGACTGTTGCCAAGACAGTCTTTGTAAATCCAGAAATCTGTACGCATTCATTCATTATCTACAGTAAATAAGCAGCTGAGAAAGGATGAGGAGAGATAAACAAACTCATTTTTACTGAAGTTGGGAGTCAGGTTAGAACCATAGGACTGAAATGTATTTGGTGTGTTGCCTCCTGGCCGTGGCGTAATGTTCGAGGAGAAGAGAGCGTGGCTTTGTGAACCGTGGGTGGGTCCCCCCATGACTCAGAGAGGGGAGAGGCGTCAACATGGCCGCCCGGTCCACAGGGATTAAAGGCCCTCCCCAACCCCCCCTCACATCCTGCAGGGTTAATCACTGGCATTTTGGATCCATGCAGCGGGAATAAATGCACTCCCCATCACTGTGGAAGGACTGAGACATGCAGTAAGCCACCAGTAAGCCACCAGTAAGGCGGGCAGAGATCTGCTTCATAAGCTTTTTTCCACTCCGCACAACGGACTGTTTGCAGCTCTGGTTAACCTCTCTGAAGGACCTGGACCTGTGTAGAATCTTGCTTTCTGCATGAGTTTTGTTATGGGATATAAGAAGTAACCTGGGGGTTGAGCTGGTAGGACCTGTGCAGCTAACTTCTGTGTCTGACAATGTGCCACGCCTGTTCATGACTGAAGGCTGAGAGTGCCGCCTCGTGCCAAGACCCACACGGCTGCTGGCTGTGCATTAAATCAGCAGTCAATTTGACTGGAAGTCTGAAATCTGGGCTAGGTTAAGGGGGTTGCGATGAAGCCGTGTTAATAGCTGGCTTGTTGTCCATATGGTACTGCTTTAATGGAGCACATTTGTTGCAGATGGTGGGAGACTCGGTTCAGCAGAGGCAAGTTTTTCTTGCTGCGCTGCTGAGACTGGTCCATGTCAGCTCATTGATGTCTATCCTCCTTGCTTCTCTTTAACCAAAAAGCCCGGCCTTGAATTGTGGCCCGGCCTTGATTTAAAGACATGCTTGTTCTTTTTGTGTGTGTGTGTGTGTGTTCAGGAAAGAGAAAATGCGATGTGGCGCGGCCACTTTCTCAGTTGGGTCATTTGCTCTTGGAACCGCACTTTTGCTTCCATACGCAAAGTTCAGTTGTCTCTCACCACAACGGGACTGCAGACAGCAGGCGCAGCTGAGGAAACACAAGCACACACAGAGTAAAAGAACAAGCGTTATGGAATAAGACCAATGATAAATATAGAAACCCAGCATAACTTAATCTATTTCACTTTCTTTGCTGCTTTTTATGATAAAAGAATACATTGGAAATACATGTTTCGGCATTAGACACCATACCACTTTGATTCTGATCATTTCTGCTTTTCAATGTGTACCAGAACTAGTTTGCGTCCACCGAGAATCCACATTTATCTGGGTATTGTTTTTGCTTTAGAGTACGTGTGCTTTTTGCACTCAGAAGTGAGGAGACACGCTTGATCAGCTCTGCACTGTTTGACGGTTGTTTTCTCACGTTGTCACTGACTCGGTGTGCTGCGGCGTGGTGATGGTAGTATGTGCGCTGGGCCCAGCCGAGTGGAGAAAAGAGCAGAGCCGCAGTGCCCCTAGCTGCGCCACTCCCACCTCCCCAGACACCTTATTGTGAGAAAAGTCTCGGCTGAGCCCTCTGGGTCTTGTGGATCCACTGCCTTGCTAAGTGCTGGCCAGACTGAAAGGCACAGTGTCCTTGGGCCCGGCTCATTCTTTCCACTCTCAGAGGCTTTGTCTCATAAGCCACGAGAGCGAGAGGAGAAGACGCCAAATAAAACCCGTGTCACCAAAAACTAATGGCTGAGGTTTTATGTGCTTTTGTGTTTTTTGTTTTTTATGATAATACTCATATTTGTTCTTCCGTAATGTTAAAAGGTAGTCGTTTTAACTCCAGCGAGAAATGCAGTCTTTCAAGCTTTTCTTAAGTAATGTAATTGAATCATAGTGAACATGGTGGTGGACTTAAAATGTTTAAATGAAGTGAAATTTCATGTCATAACGCTTGCAACAGTTCAGTGCATGAGGCTGATTTGTGAGACTTTATTAATATAAATTAATATTTGAACCAATTTAAAATTAAAAAAATATGTCGTATCGCTGCTCCTTTTTATCACATGAAAACCAACACGTGGAAGTCTGACTCAAACACAATAATAGTGCATAATATACAGACCAATAACATGTTCTAATGGAAACCTGTTGTAAGTCATTTTTAGCCGTGCGTTGCCAAAACTGTGTGGGCGATGCTTCTGAACAGCCCCATACAACTGGTGACATCATGACCACATCCCTTTGCCTCATTGACGCTGTAAGTCCCGGCTCGGGTCCATTGCGGCCAAGCTCCCAGAAGCCACAGCAGCCTCGCCACACATGGGCTGCAGCTGGACCACCGTTAGCTACTCTGAGCAGGCCGGGGCTGCTCTGGGATCTGCGGTTACAGTGCTGGATGTCCACGTATATATATGTGCACACAGCCGTGGAAAAAGGCTGTATAGACATCAGCAGGCAGAGTTTATTGGATGCAAACATATCATCAGGCTCTCAGTGCAACCCAAAGCCGTATGCAAATCCACTCCCTCTATGGAAAGAACATAATTAATGATGTCAGTTCATAAAAAAGGGAGGATGGCTTCACAGCCATATTTCTGCTTTGACTAAAGACTGTATTACAGGAAGGAGATGAATGCTCTGTGTTCTTTCTTTCCGTCCTTCTCTTTCTCTTACTTTCTTTTGTCTGTCCCTTTTTTCTTCTTCTTCTTGGTCGTCATTTATTTAATGGTGAACATGGTTCTCTGTGATTTCTCCTGCCAGAACCCCGACTCGCCGACATGGAGGGCTTTCTTCGTAGCAGCTTTTTACTGAGGTTAGTTTCATTTCCGTTGTTGTCATTTAATATCACCGGTCGAGCAGGGGTTGGTGCTTTCTGACACACTGTTAGCTTTAGACGTTGTACTTTGTGCATGTGTACATGTTTGTGTGTGTACACGTGTCTCTATCTTGTTAAACACGGCTTCTAACACATTAATCCAAGCTGTGTGTTTAGAATTGTGATTATTTGGTGTGTGGCTGACTGCATGCTCAGCTGTGGCCTCCAGAAGGTACACAACAACAAGTTAAGGGACACATGCAGATGAGCTGTCCCCCTTCCTCTCCCCTTTTACGCATTAAAGGACCTGCACATCAGGCTTTCTGTGTCTGTAGCCTTGCTGCCTTTGTCCGTCCCTTCTCCCCGTCTGCCCCACGTTACCAACCACCCTAATCAGAGATATTGGAGTGAGGCTGGAATAAGTGTCTTGTGATGTACTGTTGCTTCCTGTTGTGTGCTGTGTTTGTATTCAACCTACCATAAAGATTTAGATTTTTTGTCTTTACCCTTCCTGTGATTCTAATTAAAAATGTGTGCTGTCATTACACACAGAGGAAGTAAATAAGAGAGTGTATTTACCATTGGCTCTTTTCCTAGTCAGCTACCTTCTCTAGGCTCCAGTGTTGCTCCCTAATTAGGGTTGGCTCATTAGAAGCCACAGCAGCAGCATCTGCCTTTCAAAGCTGCTGTCAGCCAAACTTTACTAAAGCTAATGAATCCTCTTTGATTTCTTTTTCAAAAGGTCACTTATTTGATTAAATTAACAGCATTTTTTCTCTCTGGTCGGAACTTTGTGAGGCATTCTAAAAAGAAAGGACAATTTTATACCATTACTGTCGCAAGTCAAGATGTCCTTGAGGAATTCAAAATAAAATATTTTAAATTTATGTTATCTATTATAGAATGCGGTCAATTAAAATCACGCTAAAAGTAAGATTGAGACCCACATTCAGAAGCCTCGGGAAAACACGCTGAGCTCTCAGTTCTGAAAGAATTTAAATCGCGACCAATTGTGTGGCCCTGCAGAATTATATTATTATTTTTTTCATGCATCAATAAGCTTTTTGTTAACATTATTATATTTAACAAATTGAGGAGCCATTTATTGTTTGCAAATAAATGATTACATGTGTGTATATATGTATATACTGTACATATAAATATATACTATATACGCATATTCATATTCATAAATACTTTGATGAAGTTAACAGAAAAAGATGTCATACAGATATCTACAGTATCCATATCTCTCATAGCTTGGCACCAATTCATTTGGTGTGGTATATCTGCTCGGTTTGACAGAAGTTATTCAGGCATACAACATGTTACATTTTTGAGAGCACGCTGCCTGTGCTCATTTCCGCTTTTTTTCTAATGGTACAAAGTGGATGGTAGCGTTTAACTCTCAGCGCCTGTCAAAACCAGTTTGGTGGATAACTAACTGCACCAAAGATTTACTGTACACTTCATGCTGCGATGGAAAAGATTTGACAGAACTATATCTCACGTTCACCAGGAAGAGTTCTGCAACCAATCACAGCCGTTTTTTACAAAACTAACCAATTAACAAAATAAGAATAAAACAAAGATTGACCTTTGACCATGGCTTTTTCTCACCAATTCCCTTTTGTTCTCATAGTTGTGAGGAAACAGTGATTATTCTAAGTAAACACATTAATGCGACGTAATCCTCATCCTTCCGTCAATGTCTGTTTTAATTAAAGGAGGAGCGCCAGTAGAAAGATATCACGCACACTGACTGGAGATTGGAGGCCTCAACAATCAGGCAAAGATTAAAGGCAGGCTTGGCTTCAGGGTTGGCCCTTTTGCTTGCATAAGACTTGTGTCCTGCAGTGGGCTGTGGGGGTAGAAGTGAACAGGGAGAAAATGATAGAACCAGTGGTGGATGGATTTGGCATGTTAAGACATTCCTCCAGTGAAGAATCCCAGTATCTTTTCCCATGCAACTGAATTAGGTCAAAGGGGGCTTCCTGAACATGCTCGCACGTTTCTGCTCGAATGTGCAGATGTTATTGACTTGTTTTAGTCTATGTCACATCTCAGTATAGCAACCCAGATGGGCCTTTCATTATTGTAATGAGTCAGTGTGGTTTTCAGTCATACATACAGTGCGTTTTAATAGCTGTAAAAGAAGTTATACACAGCAACTGTGAAAAATAAATCTCTTTGAATGTGATGGGGAAAAGTTTAAACCCCATATTTGATGTACATGTCAAAGTCTTTGTACTCTCGTAATGATAACAGCCTGTTCAAAATTCTCACTGTCACAAAAGTTCTCTTAACTACAGCAAGAAAAAGTACAGTGTCTTTAACCGGCAGCTATTTGTGTTTGTGTTACTGTAAGTCTCACAGTTTTCATCTTTGTTGAAAATGTGTGTTTTCATCTTAGATCAATTTTTTACACGTTTATGGCAGCAATTTAACAGGTTTTTGTTTGTGCAGTCAAAGAGACGAAGCAAAGAGGGCAGGAAGTGGAAGGAAGAGTGTCGGAATACAGAGTGAGATGAGCACAGTAAGAGAGAGAGGGGGAGAGAGAGAGAGAGAGAGAGAGAGAGAGAGAGAGATGTCCTCAATCGCTCTACTCCCAGTGGGCAGGACCTCCCCCTACATTTCTGCCATTATTTGATGTAATGAAAGGAGAAAGTGTGTAACATTGAGATTGTTAATTAATTTAGTCTAACAAGATGAAGATAAATGAAACCCGCTGAAGGTTGACTAGGCTAAGGGCCCCACTTAGCATTCCTACTGCCCCCGAGCTCTGTCTCTCTCTGTCCTGCACAATGCAGCACGGCTCATAGGTGCAGCGCTGTGCTTATACAAACCCCTGAGCTCGCAAACATTACGTTTAAACGCGGACCTTTTTGACTAAATATTTCATTTCCAGCCCTCTGCTCATCATAGCCTTCTTACTTTGGGATATCTCAATTTCCAAAATGACTGCACATGTAATGCAGTTAGAGTTTTTGAGCGTAGATATACAATTATATTTTAAAACACATCCATTGGAAAGCTCTGTTCAAATGTCCACGTGACAACATGCTTCTGGGGATACCTCTACAAGTGTGCTCGTAGATAATAAACATGGCTTTTATTACCTTCTCCTAGAGATCACATATATTTTTTTTCTGAAACGACGAAAGGTTATAAAAATCTCCCCCAGAAAATATGTGGCCCCTTCACATGATTCTGTGTGACTCCCAGCCTTTCCCCGTGTGAATGGCTCTTCTCTAATGTGGCTCGGGGGCTATTTGAGCAGCAAGACAGACAAAAAGCAGAAAGGACTCTCTTTTTTAACAAAGCCAGACAGTTGTCTTCATCCAGAGTCCTCACAACCAAATCAGTAGTCTATCGAGGTCCTTTCTCAGAGGACACTTTGTGCAGGATCTTCATGGCAGCACAGACCAATCATTAAGGCACCCGTTCTTTTCTCCCTTAGTTCTCAAGTCATCAACAATGAGTTGTTGATTGTACAAAAAAAACCCACCAGAACAATTACGTTCTCTGTTTTGGTGGCAGGGCAACGCTTTAAAGTGCAGTCCTCAATAATGGCCTCATTATTGTTATTCTTGGAGCAGGCCTCAGGATAAAAAAGTAGCCGCTAGCAGTACGTCATTATTTCGTAAATTTCGATTAGCTCATCATGGCTGTCTCCTGGCAAACAGAATCATGGCTAATTAAAAGTGAGCAAGCGCTCTAGCCTGCGACTTTAAAAGAAGCACTTATAGGACTGTTATATGAAAAAAGTAGTAAAAAAAAAAAGAGGATTAGAGCTGTTACCCCGGTAACTCCGACTTCCATCTGCGAGGGAACAATGAACTTGTATTCCTCCGCCACCTAGGTTTGAAAAAAAGCGAGGACAAGAGTGTACTAAAAGGACAAGACCCTTCTTTCCAACAACAAAGTGGGATGCAGGCCTAATAGTCTCTTTGGTGCGAGTTGTTAGGAGAGGTCACTGGGGGATGCAGGAGCAGAAAGGTCGAGGTGTAATCCTAGGACAGAGAAGGTCGTACCAGGTTTTTTACAATGGGACGTTGTTTCCTGGATCTCTCTGGTTTGGCCTGAAAACATTTTAAAGATTTTAAATACTTAAATGATGAAAATACTGGTTTTAATGCACTTTTATAATATTGTCCTTTACTGGGTGTATAGCCAGGAGCTGCTAAAGAGATGCTACTCTGAAAAGGGAGGCTCTTTTTCTAAAACACTGTCGAGTTATAATGATACATGACTATGGAGGAGCAGTGTGTGTTTCTCTTTGAGTTTTATGTCCCTTATTACAGCAGCAATATGTCTGCTCACATTAAGCAAATTTATGGCTGAGGCCAGCCTAACAGCAGTACAGGTTAATGAATTTGGCATTACTAATTAAACGTTATTGAGGGATGAATATGAGTCCTCTGGTCTGGACGGACGGCACAGGAAGGTGGGAGGAGAGGAGAACGGGACAGAGGACCTTTCTGTCCCGTCGCTTTGCTGCAGTTCTCTTTCACAATGATAAAAACATGAGTAGTGGACATGAAGACAGCGCAGCTTTAAGGTGAAATGGAGGACAGTCCCCCCCCCCGTGTCTGTGTGGGTTTCCTCCGGGTTCTCCGGCTTTCTCCCACAGTCCAAAGACACGCTTTCGGGGGTTTAGGTTTAACTGGTGACTAAATTGCCTATAGGTGTGAGGGTGAATGGTTGTGTGCCTCTATCTAAGCCCTGCGACTGGTTCAGGGTGAACCCCGTTTCCTGATCACTGTTAGCATGGATTGATTCCAGCCCCCTACCCCCTTCACACCCGCCAAGCCCCACCCTGCTTTTTTTTGGATAAGCGGTATAGAAGACAGCGCGATCTACTCAAGCAAAAATTAAATTGATTTTTCAAGAAAAATGCTCACTGAAGCTTCCTCGTCCGCTGTTCAAAGCTTTTTCACTTTAGGTTAGTTGGATTTATTGTTAGAATACATTTGCATCTGTTTTGGTACTGGTTG